GAGGCAGAAAAGGAGGGTGCGAGAGAGGAGAAAGAAAAGAACGGGGAGACGCTGTGCCGTGCCGTGCCGTGCCGTGCCGTGCCGTGCCGGCAGTGGTTAACCACCGCGCTGCTCGCTCTCTGTGCGGTATGGCATACCGCGACAAAATTAGCGACCAACCGAAATAATGTACCACTGTACTCCCCCAGGACGTTCTATGGTCTTCGTTTCGTGGTGACCCTGAAATCCGGCATAGTTCGCTCGCGTGCGTCCCTCGCACATCCACGCCCATTATCACCCGGATACTTCTCTCCTCTCTCGGACCACCACGAGCGCACATTTTTCCTCTCGATCCAAATACTTGTTCCGCGCGCGTTATCGCCGCCAACTTGCAATTTAAAAAGTTGGTTACACATATGTATGCATATCGAAAGAGAAGAACGAACGTCATTAGGAATGATTCACGTGTTGATTAAATAAATCTCTCTTTCGGCAAGTTTGTCACCCCGTCCTCGCATAATTCAATTTTCTATCGCAAATTGCTTTTTCCTGCGTCGGGCTCCTGCTTCGGCGCACCGTTAACGAATAGCAGAGTCACGAAGGAAAACAATTATAGACAATTGTTAATTGTCCCAGTACGAATACTCGACGACACTCTATGGAATCGTTTAACGACAATAAAGGCCAGTAATCCGTTGAAAAATAGATCGACACACCAGATCGAAAACAAGACACACCAGAATAAATTTTTACAAGAGTTACTCATCGATCGACAACGTCGAAGAGTATCTTTTCGCCGGGAAAAGTGTGGATTAGGCAATGTCGAATTCGGTGGGCGTGGATGATTTAATAGAGAAGCATCACCGACCTACCACTTTACACGGTACTGTATTTAGCCTTTCGAGATTCGATTGGTAAATAGTAAGGTGTAACAGCGAGAAGGAAGAGAGAAGAAGGCAAAGGTGGGGGTGGTGGTATGAAATAAAATTTGTCGGTTGCATCCCCCTTCTCCGGTGGAGCGGTAACCTGCAGTTGAGGTTGTAGCGCGCGGCAATAGAGGCCGAGCTGATCAGTCTGCGCGAGTCTTTCGAGCAGTGAACGTCATTTTCTCTCTCGCCTCCCCGGATACGTTCATCGTTATCTATCTACTCGATCCTCGCTCGCAGATCGGTAGAGAAGGCGGAGAGGAAGATTTGTCAAGCGGACTGCTTGACTTCCGTTCGATCCAGAAGAATCGATTCCGCACACAGTCGCGCTGATACAGCGGAAACTTTCAAGCACAGATGGTCAGAGGTAGGTTTTCAAATGAAATTTTCTACCTTTCTCCTGCCTATACAACCGCTACCTATATATTCTCTTTCGTTAATTTCATCCCTTCTTTCATTCGTGGGGTGGTTGCGGACACGCTCTTTCTTACACGATTTCCAGACGGGTAAACGACGCACTCTCGTTCAGGCCTCTCGTCTGATTAAAAGCTGTCTGTATTCACTTAGGACTCGCGAGGCGAACCGTTTGAAAATTGGTGGTACTACAGGCGTACGGTCACGGTGTATAGTAGGTATGCAATTAGAGCGAAGTGCTTTCGACGGGGCCGTTATGAAAATGTTCAGGTTGAAATCGAGGCAGGGATGTCGAGTAGAAACGTTACAACTGGTTCTAAACGACGTTGACGTTTATCCGGTGCAATAATACGAGAGGATCCTTTCATCTCTGTCACGACTTTCTTACCTTCTTTGTTTCTCCTGGCTTGGAGCTCGCAGAAGTGGTGTCACGGTTCGTAGATGTTTCGTCGCGTGTAGCTCGCATTGTCTAAGGCAGCCAAGTACTCCTGCGAATCAAACGTACATCGTTTAAGATCTCTCGATACTCGATAATCGTTTTATCAACGAAAGAGACGCGAGGTTGGTTCTATGGGGCCAAGGTTCCAATCTACTCGGATTTGCGTTCGCGATTCTATTTTCGAACGATCAGGATACACCGTTCTGGCAGATTCGCGGTAGTCGTCGATAATCGCGATCTGCTGTGAAACAATGCATCTTCCCCGTCGAATTGTTAAATGCTGCTATTAGTAGCAACGGGTAAACTGTATTCAGCAAAGTATAATTGAAGTTCGCGTCGTCAATGACGTACGATATGACGTGTGCAACGTGCACGTGTAAACGCACCCGACTTGGTCCACTTCCATCCTATACATATGTACACACGTACGGTATAACTTTCCATATAGGATCGTCGCCGTTCAAAACACAGCCCGTCATTACGGCGAACGATACTTTTATTCGTTTACTTTTACACCGTCCTTTTTCGCAATTCAACGTATTCGAAAGAGAAACCGTTTTTCACGGGCAATGGCCGCTTGCTCGCCAATCGATCCTCGTTAAATAAAACGAAGCAGCGGTGCAATTTACATAAGAAAATCACTGGAAACCGCTGGATCCCCGGCCCTATAAATGATAAACGAAGATGATAGCGTGTCAATGTTAATGTCAGACGATATACTCTCGAGTTGCCTTCATTTTCGAACAATATCGACCGTAATTTCGTCGAAACTCGTGGAATAAGTATAAATACATACGTACACGAATAACGGTGATTCTCTTGAAACAAACGAGCCTTCTTTCACGCATCGTGTCCATGCCAGAGACGCGTGGTCCAGGCATGAAGTGTAGCACGGTTAAGTCTGTTTGGACAATCGAGCGGTTGTAATAATTTCGACTCGGTTCCCAAGAACATGTTTGCGTCGTTACGATGAAATAGTGGCCGTTTAATAATATTCATAGGTGAAGAGAGAAACTGGATGCAACTAGGCATGATAGAACGGTTCGTCGGACTTCTCGTTAGCCGAGGAGGGAAACAGGACGGTCCTTAAAAACTATTCAACGTCACTGCATATTGCGTTATCCGTGAAACTATCGTATCGTAAATCTTCTCGCGTGCCTCTCGCGTGCACGTGTTCGATTCGTGGAACTGAATGAACAAAAGGCTTTCCATCAGAATTCATGAATTTACGTCACAGCACTTTTTCTTCCAGGGTCGTTGCCTGATATCGCAGTGACGATGGCATCGGGAAGAGAAATTTACGGTGCATTCAGGTAAGCAGTCCAACTATTTAGAGTATCCCTTTTATTTCGAAGAGAGTTATCCTGCTAGAAATCATGCACGCGTTTGTAAACGCGCGCTTCCAAGCCTGTTATTTCCAAGCCTGTAATCGTTTTACTGGAAAAGTCAGCCTGGGCTATCGCGATTTTTCTTTTCTTTCACAATCTTCCTTGATGATCAGTCAGCATCTCCAGTTTTCAACGTTCTCCTATCATCTAAATCAGAAATCATCTAAACTTATGATTCTTAGAGCATAAGTATTTTCATATCTCTACCGAGGCCACTATATCCAGTGGTTGGAACGATTATGGTTATAAACCACGATGCAAACAAGAGGACCTCGTTTTCTTCCTTCTTCGGTTACATCGATTTTACGAACGTTCTCCCTTTAATAACGAAGGGACGCGTTCGTTTCGTTTCGTTTCGTTTCCTCTTGAAATATTACTGAAACATTCTAATAGAGTATTTTACGTAAAATCAATCCGTTATCCATAGCCTAGGCTACGTGCTTCAGTACCAATGACGTAACATTGACGCAAGCGACAATTGTTGCCACTACAATGCTGCAGGGCAGAACGTCGATAGTTGAGACCAACTACGAAAATCATGTCCTCCTTATTGGTAAAACCTGCTCGGTTCGCGACACCCAAATTCGACGTCGACCAGTAAACTTTTTATCATTTTCACTCGGACCGAATCGGTTGTTGAAACGTTATTTCACATTTTCGAAGATAAGAAATCTACAGTTTATAGTTGATATATCCTTGAATTTGCAGCTTGATCGTGGATGACGTCGACTCTCATTCGATATCGAGCGAGAACTCAGATTTCGATGGACTATCGAACGAAAGCAGTTCCCACAATTCGTCGTCTCAAACTCCGCTGGACAGTCCAGGTGGTCCTAGAGAAAAAATCAAACAGATGCAAGTGGAAGCCGAAACTAGAAGAGGTGAATTCGCGAGGCTACTAGAGGAACATGCTCAAGTAGTGAGGAAGCTAAAGATGATGGAGGCCGAGGAGCAGCTCTCGTCGACCGGAAACGTAGTGGGAGCTACGCACGCGTGATTCCATCTCTGATCGGGTAAAACAGTTTGTAGGATTGGGACCACCGTGATTTTGCGATGCGAACCGATCGTTTCGTTAAGTATACGTCGGCCAATTGGGAATTTGCCGAAAAGTGTTGCGTTGCTCTAGAGAAATATTACTAGGATATTCGACACGGCAAGAGAACAATGAAGAATGTAGAAGAAACTGGTATTTTTCGAACAAACAGGTATATTCGTTTCAGAATTACTTTTCTTTTCATTTATAATACAAAGTAATTAAAAGTAACCAGAAGATAGAAATAAATTCTTGGCCAACAGACGCTCGCCCTTAGAGAAAATCGGTTGAATGGGAAACGAATTTCCTACGCTTCTCTCTTTAGTTTCTCCTACTTTCCGTCAACGTTCGAATCGCGAATATGCAAGGATAAAAATGACCGAGCTCTTTCTTTTACGTTTATCACGAAGTCTGAAACACTTCTTCTTTACGACAATAATGAAGAACTCGGCATACATTCACCGGTCTTTCAACTAAAAAGACCAAATGTATCCGATGTAAATACATACACAGCAAAAATGGCTGGCCTAAACGTAGTACAAACTTTTGAAAAACGAATAACAAAGCGTAGTGCTAACCAGAATAGTGAAAAGCTTTGGTGGTAGCACTGTTTTCAATACACTATCGTTTATAAAACATCGTCATTTCCAAATAAATCGTTACTACGTACATGTAGTATGTCTCGACGAAGTACATACAAGCTTCTACGTTTTATAGCATTGTATATTTGAGTGTTCCATACGTGTAAGTAAGTAGTTTTATATGTATACCTTAAGCATATATATACGATAGCGTAGGACTGTAAGCCTGCCGTAATACGCGGAAATTTCTGTAAATAGATTCCTTTTTTCACATAATGCATTATTCACACAAGAGCTTTATGATGTAGTTGCGCGGTAATAAAATCATCGTTCGAGATTTTGTTTCATTATGCATTACGAGATATGAAATCGGTTCGCGTTAAACACGGACCAACGAACCACGAGTACGATATTTCTTGTCTCTACGTGCATATTGCGTCAGGTTTGTATCCTTACGAAATACATAGGTATTATTAGGCATTTATAGAAATATGCACGTATACATATGTAAAAGAAAAATATATACGAATAGAACGAACATTCGGTATACGTTGACTTTTTTTCATCTGTTCTTGCCATCTAGAAATCTTTTGGATACAACGGATCAATTTACATACATACTTCCCTTCGAAAAATATACTTTCTTTCTGCTTGGTAATGCACAACCATACGATAACGGTAATACTTTCGATTGATTTGAACAAATACACAACTACTACTTTAGTATTGTCATACTACTTTATAATAGCAATATTTCTAGTATATCATTGAATACTAAATATTCATTTGAAAAATCACTGCTGTGCTAATTATAACAACGTCGTATGATACAAACAAATATATTATGTAACATTAGGAGATAAGTATTGTAAATTGTATTTAGATATAAATAGAATTGTAAGTAACTGTATATTGAAAAAAATATATAGTACTTTATTGAATTGGATATCTTTTTATTCGTGGAAATATTCGTCGTTTTAAAAAAAGTTCACTTATAATCAGCGATGCTTTTGTATTTTTTATTATGAAATTTCGTCGATAAACATAATACATTTTTGTTCAAGCTTTTTGCTTTGTTACGCATTTTTGTTCATTAACATCGTAAAATATCTGTGCGATAATTTATATCGAAAGAATTTTAAATCTTCGTATTCTAAGATGAGTAGAAGCCTTAATTCGATTAAGAATAAATTAAGATAGTTTAATAATACATAATACATAACTGTATCCTGATAAAAAAGGAAAACTATATAAGTACAAACGAGGGATACACGAGAGTTACACATCTCCGGACACTTCTTGGACGGGACGTGCCGTTGTCATTAACAGTATTCTTTTGCACAATTTAGCATTGGAAATTTTCAAATATTTGATCAAATCTGCCTGTTTTTCGAGTAATTCTTCCAAATTAATTCCCCTACTATGGTAACCTACTTCGTTGCTACCCGAATATGAATTTTGATTGAAAGAAGATAACCAATCCTCTTGAGCAACATCGGGTAGTGGACACCATCTATTGAACATCAAAACTGCTTCTACAAGATGAAAAACAATTTATACCTTTGAAGCTTGGTGGATTATAAGTACCTTGATATTTCTTCATACTTACTGATGTAATATATATAAACTGGAACAATAATTACAACTTCCAATGTAGTTAACAGTAATATGTAATTTAGAGGAGTGAACCACTCTGACGCATGACAATACTGTTCGTAATCAACTTTATGAGTGTGATGTAAAATCACAGCTAGTAATAAATAACATACTGTCCATAATGATACTATAAAAAGAGGTGCCCTTATTTTCCGATATGTCACCTGATAGAAGTTAAAATATCCTCGAATACGTAGCTTAAAATGCTTCCTCTTTACCAAATGATCGGTTAACATAACTATCAGCCAATAAACACAATGAAGGTACAAATATATAAAATAAGTATCACATTTATTTTCCTCTTCGGGCCATACGGACAGAAATAGAATTCCTACAATTTCTAAGGACACCTACAATATTAAACGAACGTAGTAAGTGGTCAATGTTTTAATCTCGAAGAATTTGACACTTACACCAAATAGAAGAGAAACAGATACAATAGGTATAGTATCTAATTTTTGAAAATGCTCGCCTTCTTCTTGAGAAGTTAATATAGGTTGAAAAGATTCCTCCTCGTCCATGTTGAGAGGTGATTGGAAAAATACAGCTCTCTGATAAATATACCGCAGTTGTAGGCTATCGATTTGTTCGATAAACAATGAGTTAAATTATACGATTCGAGGGTAAAGTCTAGAAAAAGAGGTTATGTTTATATTGCGTCGCGTAACTGACAAGAATAGAACATGATAAAACAATAATTTGCTGGATGGCTCTTTTTATTACACCCACACTGCCTGATCTATCGAAATACCTGACTAGCCATTTTGCGAAAGATAAGGTGAAACGAGAAAGTTACACTTTAACAATTAGACTCGATACAAAATTTTCTAACCAAAACATACTTGGAACTGTTTAACGTGTAAAACGGCGCATAGTACATCACCGAGTCTCGTCGATCTTTACCGAAAGCCTAAAACTAACACAAACACATGCCAACGGTGATACTATGTGAAATGGCATGGTACGTGGTACGCCATTCGCTACTGCACGCATCATACGCTATTTCACATAGAACCACGGCCGACGTGCGTTTGTGTCAGTTCTAAAGATTCGGTAAGAATCGACGAGCCTGTTTAAATTCAGAGTGCACATACGTATCGTTTAATTTACGTATAACTGATTACAAATGTCTCTGCCAGCAGACGACAAAAATGATATGCATGTATGTTTAAAAAATCAAGTACGTAGAAAATTTGATTTGTCAATTTCGAATAAACGTAAAATTGCATATAAATAGTATTGCATAGAAATATCTACTTATGTATACTTCTATTTTAAAGGAGGAGAATATAACGCGCGCTTATTTAATAAATATTTGGTTGATTTTCGAATGCAAGAATAGAAACAAGTGTATACACTGTTGAATCAAAGGAAGTGCAATGTTAAACAAAAGTTTGTAAGAATAAAGCATGATAGAACAGTCGTTAATGGTCCAGGAATACCAAATTTCCGTATGCGTGCTGGCATTAATCAGAGGATACTGAACAAATATACACAGGAAGCGTCCAACTTTATTTTAAAAGCGCGGAATAAATCTTTATATAGAGTATCAGTCCGTTAAATGTTACACAGAGAGCTGTGTTCAAACATAGATCGTTTATTTATCACACTTTCGAATGATTTTTATCGAATAAACAAAAATCCAAATATCCATTTTGTAACAACGTGACGTAATTCGTAGCGACTGAATTGTAAGGGGAATCGATTTCGAATCGATGTTCAAATTTCTTAAGTTGAACATCTTCCTACTTTATTTCGCCCTGGACGAACGGAGAGGAAGGGGGAAAGAGCGAGAAAGAAACAAACGATGGACAACACAACCTAAATGAAAGTTTACGCAAAATAATTTTCATCGAAATTGAAATTTCCTCGTAAAATTAACAAGTATGTTTGGTCGACAAATTTTTTTGGAACCGGTGGACAATGAACGTGACCAAAGGAGACGCGATGAATTTTTTCGACAATTCTGTGTAAATCAGAGACGTGGAATACCGTTTACCGAACTAACAAACATTCCTTCTTTAAGAAACGACGGTCTAATGCTCGATTTAAATTTAATCCTCGTCGACGATACCGATCGTGTTCAACCGAACAATCTTTATTTTCGAACGTTCGTATAAAGAATCTGCCGAACCAGATGAGATAAAAATGGGCAATAAATTGTTAATAACGTTTTAGTAACTATGGAAATGCACTGAATCGATATTTGTTAGAATACGTAAGGCAAATGGAAGAAAGGTACTTGGCTATGGAGAGAGAATTGACGAGAACGAAAATGTTGATCCCTGTAATGACGCGCAACTTTGGTGCCGTGCATCAAACGGTATTTTAAGAATGTACTGTTAAAGGTCTTTTTAGTTTCAACATCTCTTATAATACACACGTACCGAACTTTCCCCTTTTAAAGTCACAAACAGACGTAAATAGGAAGCAAAGTTCTTTCGTGAAATACGAACATATTTTTGGAACTTCTCCGAGAAATCAGTACAGAAAGAATCAGGAACAGGTTAATCATGTTTCATCGAGAAGGAAGCATCATACTACGAGAAAAAATAAAGATCTGATCGCGAAAACGTTGCTCGATACTGATTGGACGAAACAGAAAAATCCTTCGCAGGTATTTGTTCAGAAGTGAACAGCTTTTGTGAGGTAAAAGGTCTTGGGAAATATTTATCGAAATCTCCGATGCGTCCTTTTAGAATTCTCAGAACGATATTTACCCCATAAAAGAGCCTGGCAGCCATTCGTGTAGGCCAAGAACATTAACTAGCAATTCAACCGCTGTTTGCTCGATGCACAACGTAGCTGTGATTCTTCCGCAAGGCTCAACTCAATTGACCAATTTCTCGAGACACGGTCAACTTAATTCGAAAGTAATGCATACCGAGTTTTAAATATAGTTTCTTCGATGGACGAAAATTTGTCAGACTTATTAACGAATTTTATTTGATTTTTCACAAACGGTTCCCAACTACGACAACTATCGTCGGCGATGAAAAGGCGTCGATGGACATATGCCAAAGTTTTGACAAGAAGCACGAACCGGAAACAACGTGCTATACCGACTTTGATGTTAAACAGGAAGATCATATGCAAACCAATTCCACTGTAAATACACCAGAATTTCGACCGATAACGAGACCAAAATTGAATAACGATATTTCCGAGCAAAAGTCCGAACTTGAGCAGCCACCGAGCCATCGTCCACACCTCAATACCGATTTCGAAGGAAAATGTATATTTACGAGAACGAATTTTTTCGAAAATACCAACACGCCTCGAAAAGAATATTTCCCTTGTATTCGAACATCTGAGGGTAATAACAACCATTGGAACAATCGTTCGAAGAAATGTGTACCTCGTGAAAGAAGTAATTGCACAGACGATTTGCCGAGGTATTTTACACGAACGATTCAGAAACCAAAGAAAGATGTTCACAAGAGAATTCCAACGCCACGAAGCAACGTTCATACAGCTTACACTCCTATGGTGCAATCCCCTACTTGGAATCCTATGTTAGACCCTAATGGTTTGACCATTCAATTATTGAGGTATGGTGTAGAATAAACGGTAAAGTAGCAAGTGAAATTTTTTATTCACTTTGTAAACATACAATTTCTTTCGTTCGACAGATTGGCAGTGTTACTTTACGCTCCTGCGTTGATGCCGGCTCTAAATTCGTTGATTGCTCGACAAACAGTTCAAACTTCAATCCCCATACCTTCTTCCGAAGGAGCGAACGATTTGTTAACGCAAATTTTTACAATTTTGAGCAACCAACAGAGTGTCCCGAATTTGTCGTACGTGTCGAATCCTAGAGTCGACGAAAATTCACAGTATCGAGAATCACGTCAACAATCACATTCAGAGGTATAGTAATTATTACTTCGATGTAAAAATAATTACCCAACGATGAAACTTTTTGAAATGTTTTTAGAATATCGCGAGGCAACACCGAAACGATAATTGCGACAGAACAACTTCCGTGAACGATCAGCTTGAGAAGAATTCTATCGCCGTTGATACTTCTCTGGAAATATGCGGTTGTAACAAAATGAAACAGTCGTCTTCGCAATACAGCGAAGACATTTTACGCGATGAAAAAACGGAAGAAAACGAGGAGTTGCTGTACACATGGACGGACAAGAAATCGAAATCGTCGGAAGAAAAGAAGGGCGAAGATGCCGAAGAGAAGCAAGACGATGCTGAACTCTTCGGAAATTCCTCAATTCGTACGGAATCTAACGTTTGGAAGCAACTCCGCGTGAACGATATTTGGAAATTTGAATCGAATACAAAGTTGAACGAATTTGAATAAATCTCCGAATCGTATCGAAATGTCGAACAACCGACTAATAGATTGCGGGTGAAAAATAATCTCGTATACGATACGTAACTGCTTAAGAACGCTTGCGCGCGCTTCTACACGTGCTGAAGGAACAAGCATTTCTACGAACGTTTGTTGAGAACTGCAGTCTTACGCGCTTTCACCACCGAGGCGCGTCCTACGATCTATCCTCTACCATATTCCCTATTTTCACCTGACACAAACACAAAATCGTACGCACTGAAAACCTAGAGAAAAATACAAAGCATCAAGGAGACCGTTCTTTCGTTCGATTATACGCGTGAAGATATTTGGTGAAGCTTTCGTTCGCAACATCTCTGTGAAATGTAAACGAATATCTTTCCAAGATGACAACGACGCGGGAGAAGAGTTTTGACAAAGATGAGAGCAGAGGCAAGGAAGATTAAAAGAGACGATGGGAGAGCAGTTAGAAAGAACTGAAATATAATTTTGAAACGTTCGTCGAAAAGAAAATCGAATCAGAATGAGCAAGGAGGGAAACAGCGAAGAAACTCCTCAGGAAGGAGCTGGTGGTGGTGAAACATCGAAAAAAGACGATATCTATGAAACTGGAAGGTCGAAAAAGATAGTACGTTTAATCACTGTGATGGCTTATATGTTCTCTGTAAGTTTCGTAGCCATAGTTTTGAGTGGGTATTACTTATTTCTTTGGGAACCACCTAATCCCAGACTTTTACGAAGACCGGTTCACTTGTTGGCCGAACCAGAAATGGAACGCTTATCAGGCGATCCGCCGTATGCGGAAAATGAATTGTACAAGCCCCAAATGCTCTCTGGTCGTACTGCTGACAAGGATAATCTTGCCGATAATTACGATTCCGCGAAGAAACGTGAAAAGATGGACGAATCTATGTTTCTATTGAGACACTCTTTGGTAGAGTTTCTGCAAAATAGAGTCAACGATTCAAAATATTACGACGAGTACATCACGTCGAAAAGTCGGAGAGCTTCAAAGTTTTTTAATCGCACTTCGTTATTCGCTGAAAGAGAAATGTCAAACTCGACGGACGAAACAAACGAAAAAGCTGTAAGACGATCCTCGGAAATTCTGAATCGTACGTTCGATAATAATAGTACAACCTTAACATTGAACTCTTCGACTATTTCTGGAGATGAAACGAATAATAATCGTTTAACGAGTACCAGAAAGAATTCTATGCACCCGGCGTCGCCTGAAAGCGTATTTGAATCGAGCCGTAATTTCACACAAGACACGGCTACTAATCGAGAGAAATATAAAAAGATCGTGTTCACTGGTTCCAAGGCGAAAACAGAAACGTGGAATAAAAAAAGTGTAAAGACGACGGGACTGAGAAGAAGCAGAGAAAATGTTGAAACGCAAAGAAACAGAAAGGACGTTGAACAAGAGGTCCACTTAAATGATCAATCAACCACGTTACATTCTCAACATAATTTCGAACTTGCCGATCGTCCGCAACATCCTGATCGATCAAACGAATCACCTACGGAATTGGCGAACTTTGCGCTAAAGTTCAAAGGTAGAGAAACTTCATACAATTTCTCTGTAATTCTTGAATCTTAAGTTAGTGTTTTTAATGGGCGATATTGGTGTAATATCCGGAAGCAGGTGATATGCTTCTTCTGCGATCGATCTATATGATTAAAACCATAGAAAAAGGATAGTCGATGGATTGGTCTGCGATGATTATCCGTATTGCCCGCGTATTAGCTAAAACAAGGTCAGGTCGGATCCATTATGGCTTCTTTAATGTTGCACCGTTACACAGATTTTACCAATGTCTACGAAAAATCGTTTTAGTATCTTTCTTGATCTTTCGTTGCAATTCCATCGAGTTGTAGCTTTGAATGTGCGAAATATTCCATTCCACTCGATAATGATTAGCGATCGTAATACTATGTTTGTCCGAGAAATGATGGAAGAACGACATCTTAAATGCTATTAAAATAAAGGCGCGCCTTCTTTGTAAAACTGGAACATCGTCAAAGTCACTTTACCCTCGAAACGAACTAAAGTTTGTCAGTTTCTTATACGTAAAATAACTTCTATTCCCCGTACTCGCGATCTTCTCTTACTTCAGTCCGATACAGAAACCGAAATTTATGCAATATCGACGAATCCTGTTTAGCCTGACACGTACAATTATTAAGTTCGAAGCATTACAAAGTTCGAACTTACGTAAAATGCTTGCGCAACATTTTTAAACGTTCCTCTGTCACTTCTACGGAAGCACTTGAGTTTGAAATTCCGACGATTTTTATCCATTATCCGAAATCATTTTCGCACATGTGTACCTATTATCTAACACCTTTCTTCTATGCCGAGCCTTGAAATCGAAACGAAATTGAGGAAGATATCGGAAAAAATTCCGTAGACGATACGGTTAAGCTTTGCTAAATAAAATAAGAAGACTATCAGATATACATATGTGTATGTACAGCAGTTTAAGGACATTTGTCACGATGAATCCCGTCAAGTTGAGCAGCCCTCTCGAAGCACGCGAATCTAAGTAAAATAAGTCAAGGTTCTCAGACTTGCGCAGTGAATGCTCGTTGGTATCACTGGACAGGTGTGTTTTTTTAACAGCTGCATCGGTGGAAAACGTTGATCTGTCCTGTGGTCTGTCCGAAGGGAGAATAGTTGGGAGCAGGGTCGTGAGAGAAACCCCTTGCGCATCGCGTCCTTGAAAACTCTTGTCCTTCTCGTTAAGGTTCCCCCATCTCTGTTTTCGGTATTCTATCCGTGCGGTGGAAACGCCCTACCGGCTAGACAAGGCTCGTTTCTATTCGAAAGGGGAAAATTCGAGAACTGGTCAAAGTGAATTGAAACGCGTACTTCTAACGTACGGATTACATGAAAATTCACACTGGTGATTAATCGGTGAGAATACTTTCGATCAAAGATGTGAAAATTGGCTAGGGTAAAAATATCCGACGTAAGGATGTTTAACACGGTAGCTACAACGTTTCAGCCACAACGCTTGCAGTAATAAACACACAAAGTTTACTGGTCGTTGATAAATATAAGCAATCGACGACGAGGTTCTAAATATGTACGTGAGATTCCAAGGAAGGGAACAATGTTTTCCTGGATGTTTTTCCTAAAACCTTCCATCAACGAGGCATCGTGGTTACAATTATGATCTTTGTTCGAGATGAAAATTCGTCGTTTCTACCATGGTTTCTTGCTAGAAATTCCGGTATAAATTTCTCTTCGACGATACTCTCGTAAATCGAGTCTTGAATAAATGTGATTTCCTTCGAGACGCAAACATCGATGCAATGCAGTTACCGCGCAAAATGAGCGCTCAGAACGTGATGGCAAGCATTAGTCGTACGCTGGGAAATCGCGAACATAAGCCGACAGGCAATGAAATTCGACTCGCCGACGACGAGAGGAAAGATAAACTGTACGAACCGAAGCACAAGCAAAAATTAATACGGGTACTGACGGTAGTGGCTTACGTTATATTTGTTAGCATGGTAGCTATCTTGCTGTCCTTGTACTATACCTTCTTGTGGGACCCTAAGGATGTACCCATCGTAAGGCCGAGACCCAAGTCGGAATGTGCCAACTCAAAGTTACAAAATTCTTTCACCACTCCCTTCAGTGTGAATGGTAAAAGTAGGATTTCAATCATCGGGACAACGTGATACACTTCTGTCTTTCTTTCTTTTTTTTTTTTTTTTTAAACCGATTTTATGATTAACAAGCTGTTTAAAATTCTCGCCACGATAAGAAATACCAATTGAAATTGAAAAAATTCAACGTTACTTTCTCTTTTTTAGAAACGCAGGCAAAAAAGACGACAAAATTGGTGACCGCGACAGATGAACAAAGTCCTACACAGGAGATCGTAACTGCCGAACAACAAGAGAATAATCTGATAACTATTTCAACGGAAAGTGCTGATACATCCTCGAGTGCGTCGCCGCTAACAATGTCCGAGGATTTGCAACAAACTAATGCGAGTATAGAGACGAAAGAGACATCTACCAAAATACATTCTAAGATTAATCAGACTTCCTAGAAGAGTAAGAGAGAAAAAAAGAAAGGAAGATTAAAAGAGGAAGAAGCGATTGTTACAGTCAACACCTTTAGATTTGTTTTATAGCATTAATGTACCAATCTAGTTAACATTGACAGAAATGTTCCAGGAATACTTTTCAAATGAGATAATATTTCTATTATTTATGTAAATCGCGATAATTGATTTGACAACATGCGATAAGGATTAATTTTGACACTGCAAAATTATACGATTGAAACGAAGAGACAGACAGACGATTACCGTGAATAAAATCGTTTGGAGTAACGAAAATTGTATCTCTTTCCATTAATTTTTCAAGTGTATATCGAGAAATAAATTAAACGACTAAAAAATGAAGGTAAAAATGTTTTTCATTATTAACAATATAAACCACAGGATTTAGTATTAGCTTTTCACATCTTTTCGCAATAGTAATATACACCTAACGTTGTATTATATTATACATATAATATCGTTTGATACAATTGTATAAAATCATTCACATGCTTTTTCTCTTTCTTATTGTTCACCAGTCATAAGCATATGGACAGATTTCTCTGATCCAAGCATTTTAGTCGCTCTTTCGGTACCCACAATTGCAGAAAGTTGCATAACGTCGTATTTACAATATAAAACGGTAACTGTCATGTTGCTTTCAGAGCCCGCTCGTCGATTCTGATTAGCTTCTTGCATTACATTACACATTTCGGTGTACAAGTGAGGAAAAATCGGCGGTGCGTAAAATATAATGTGTCGTATACCTTTTACCCTTATTCTACGGAAAAAATGAAATCGTTCCGAATATAAGAGAAAGTGTGCATCACTGTGAAAGAACATGTCTCTTGCTCTTGCTATTTTTGCATCTTTAGAATATTCGCATATTTGTACAAAACTGTATTCTTCTTTTTTGAAATAATTTCGCAATTTCACGAAATCAAAGTAAGACGGAATGAATATTAACGTATGATTCATAATTCTATCTTTGTACTGAGGAAGTATTTTTGTTATGAAGAATTCCATTCTATATTCCAAGGCTTGGGAATAATTTGAAATTTCAAATCTATGAAACACTTGTGGAACTTGGACAACTACTTGACAAATAGAACCAGAAGAAATAGGATTTATTATTTTAACTTTTCCCGCATAATTGTAACATTTCTTATTAAATATTCCATAAATTTCAGGTACATGAATGCTTGAAAATATCAATGTCTGTCTATAGTATTTAGTCCACCCATTCACGCACCAACTTCTTACTCTAGAAAAATCTGTGCCATGAAAATCTTTTGGTTGCAAATGTAAATGATTTAAAACGTGAACCATGTGGTCCCAGTTTTGCATTAAAAATAATTCTGCTTGGTCAAGGATTAATAATTCTATAGACGCTAAGAAATCATAGTCTCTGTCTGCTTCACCTTCTGCACCTACTAACATTCTTAAACCTAACAGAGATGTGATTATTATATCTGAGGAATAAAACTCTGAATATAATTTTAATGTCTTCTTTGTAACAGCAATTCCTATTTTAAATGTATCATCTGTATTTCCTGCAAAGGTCAACTCATAATCTTCAGGTTTTGGATTTCTTTTTGGTAATGCTAATTCATTGCCACTAAAATCTTCCATGAATCTTTTCTTGTTCATTACAGAGCCACCTTTGTCTTCTCCAATTAAAATAGATATTAATAATTCGACAATTTTTAAACATGAATGCCTAAAAGGAACTACTATTAAAATTTTTGGTCTCATTAGTCCCTGATCCCTATATTCATCTGGAATTTCTGCCATATTTGTACATTTTGCCATTTTTGCATTGTGGTGTAGTATTTTTGTTCGTGTTTTTAATACATGATTAATTGCATGTAGACAATATATGAATCTTATTTGATCAGCATTAGCAAATGTCCTCTCAGGATAATATAAATCTTGATAATTATTTATTATTGAAAATAACTCTCTTTGCAAAGAAGTTAGAGAAGTTGGATTTGTACCCGTATTATCTTTTATATTTAAATAATTTGCTTCTGTGATATTACCCTGAATTTGAGATTTTACATATAATTTGTTCCAATTTATTGTATCAATTAAAGAAGGAATGGTACCACATTTTGCAAACTGCTTATTTTCAAAAAGAGAAGTGTTTGATTTTTTCATTGCATCATTTGCATCTTCCAAGGGTTTTGGAATTTGGCATGTAAGATTTCCTAGAACACGCCATGTTATTTTCTGTGTTTCTGCAGTCTGTGGAATAGAAGAAACTGCTTCATAAAGTTTATCACTTAAATCATTACGAAGATGAATAGAAAATGGATCATTTAAATATCCAGCATCTTCTTGAGCAGTTTCAGGATCTTCTTCGCTAACATCTTTCACTTTAATGAATACATTATCTTCTATAATATCTGCCTCTTCACCGATATTGTCCAAGTGTACTGTTACATTGTCACTGACGTCGTTATTTTCCTCAATATCATCTTTATCACTGAAAGTATCACTTTCTGAGTTAGATTCGATAGCAGTCACTTGTAGGTTATTCGTGTTTGAAAACGTGGATAACAAATTTTGCATTGGATTCTCGCGTTCATCACCAGAACTATCACTTTCTAATTCTTGTCGCTGTAATTTTTCCTCTTCCAACATTTTCCTACGTTTCTCAATTTCTTTATTTTTAATTTCGCGATCCTTGACATATGAAGCCTCTTTTAGGTTAAATTTACCTTTCTTTGGCTTCGGTCGAGAATTATGTTGGTGGAATTTTCTTTTTCCACCGCGAACTGGCCTTTTACCACGTACCATTTTAACGAAAAGTTCCTTACGTTAATTAAAAACACATATTAATCGAAATTTCCTTTATATAATGCAAACACCATCCACGTGTCCACGTCAACAATTGTCATTTAACAAAAGCAACACTATCAACTCACGTACATACTTATAATCATATATAAATTACATATTAAAATCGAAATAATATATGTTTTACAAATACATATATGTATAACTTCAATTGATAATAAATTATATAGGTTAGTTCTATAAGCTATGAATAATATATATACACTGAGTCTCGTCGATTCTTGCCAAAACTTTGGAACTAACACAAACGCGCAGCAGTAGTTACGTACGTGAAACGCCATTCCGCATCGTACAGATTGCACGCCATTTCACATAGGCCAGTACCGTTCTTCGTTTGTGTTAGTTCTAGGGTTTCGGCAAGAATCAATGAGATATCTCTTGCCGAGACACAACTATAAAATTCACTAGCGTCGTATTAAGGATAGATTATTGCCGCTGAATTTAAGTTCAGTACATTACAGTATTATCACATATTCGTTTATTTTTACACAATTATTTATCATAATAAAAGTGTACAAAAAATATTTAACTATGTGATCAATGTATATTTCAGAACACAAGATTTGCTATAAATGTTTTCGTAATATTGTCGCATATTATGCATGGACTATATGATTGCAATTAACATTACGGAATCACAGTAAAAGACAAAAATTCGATAAGTTTTAGAATATTGAATAATTAATAATAGTGGTTCGTAACTAATATTGTAATTTAATAATTTAATTTGACCTAAGAAATTCTATATTTTAATTAAACAAATTATCAGGTAATTAGGGTTAGGATATAACTACGTATGAATTTTCATAATTTTTGTGAAATAAACTCCATCAACTAGTGTACTGTCAAATATTTATAAATATATCGAATGATACAACGAAGTGTACCGAAATTTAAATCTATTTATACTTAAAAAAAGTTAATTACTATTCGGAAAACCGGAAGAAACCTTCGACGCATGTTGCCTACACCTCGAACATCACGTGACTAACGATTTTAATAGATAAATTACCATGTTGAATTGAAAGTTTTAATAACCATTCTTCTTATCTCCCATTTTACGAATCAGAGTTTTAGGATGTTGTCACACGATAAATAGTAAGTAATTATGTGGTTTTTCAAAACCTATTTGGATCTACTTATATACTTTAACTAAGAATTATTGGTTTATTGTAAACATTATCAAAGGAAAACAATATTTTATTACCGGTTTTCTGGTTTATGGACAATCCATAGCTTAAAGTAGTCCATGACAACTGCACAAGTATTCTTGATAAAGCAAATGGTAGGGAAACGCAGGAAGTAGAAAAAAGTGGGCAAAATTAATTAACCCTTTGCTCGGTTGTTTACAAAATATCCGGTTCCTGACAGGCCGTCAGAGCCAACGAGTTCAGGCGAACAGGCGATGCTGCGCGCGCAATAATAACACGGCACCGACAGTGCCGTGCTATCTTTAATTTTATTTCATTTCCTCATTAGAATTGTGCAATAAAGTATAAAAAGAAAAAATCAACATTCTGACATTCATAACAATTGCATATATCTTAATGGAACATATGAAACATCTAATCTATGTAATAAATATAACATTACATTACTAATTTAAAAATGCTTTTTATATTTTTTTTGTTAGTTTCATGTTAATACAAGAATTCTTCAAATATCAATCCAGCATACACATACAGATATGATTAATACTCTCTAATCAAGATATGTAAAAACTTATAATTGTTTTTTAATTGAATATTTTAAATATTTTAATGCTTACGACGACGAATATTTCAAATTTCTTTATTAATTTCCCTCTATTCCAGGTGTATACTATTTCAGTTTTGCATTACATTACATATATAGAAGCAGGAGAAATATTACAAGTACGGTGGGGACAGAGTTATCCTATACGTGGTTGAGAGTATGAACTGCGGGTCGTAAATGCACAGACAGTTTCGATATAGAACTTGAGGCGCCCTTAGCGGTGGTTACGTATAGAACCGGTAAGCTGTGATTATTTGGAAGTTTTTCAATACGAGGAACTGCCCAGTTGGTGTTTGACAGCTTTTAAAAGCTTTCGAGCAAGGGATTATTGGTGGACGTGTACGAAGGCAAAAGCCAACGAAAGTTTTTTCGTATCTGATGAGCTCCTCCGTCGCCCCGCTGGTGGTAAGATGGCTGTGCAGTTGGATGGAGGAGGGAAGGAGGACTTGAAAACACAGTTTGTCACGCGGGAAGGAACTTACAAGCTAATGACTTTGTCCGAGTATTCAAGGCCAAATAGGGTCGGTTACACGAACAGTCAAGGAAGCGCATCCGTTAGGGTGTCTTTCGTAACTTTGCCGGACTCAGCGGATCCTACGGGTACGCAAGGTCTAGGTGACCGAATGTGTTTCAATTTTGGCAAGGAGCTCTATGTTTATGTGTATCGAGGGGTTAAAAAGGTAAAGTGAATTCTTCCCATATAACTAATACGTTTATTATTGTGTCCATGTTTAATTAAGCATGGATTTGTTCAAACCTAACCTCGAAAACACATACTGAGACTCCATCTTTGCACCATCACCACACCTAACACAGACAATCCTCTTACTTTACTCGTTAACCACAAGTAAAATTGTATCCGTTAAACATATTCCTAGTTAAATTTTTCTTTCTATATTAAACGCATTATTTAATTTGTTGTAAATATTTGACGAAAATCTTCTTGTTGTTGCATTTGAAAGATTAATATTGATGAAATTTTATACTTAATAAACAACTTTATCTAAGAGATTCTTTACTTTGGAAGAACATATTCCTGATCAATACTAGTAAATCTTATTACTTGTTAAACATTTTTATATTGTTCTAATTTTGAATCTTTGTTAAAATCAGTAATGAGTTAATGTTGAATGAAAATGTTTCAGGCTGTGGACTTAAATAAACCAGTGGACAAAAAGTTATACAAAGGAACTAATCCAACTTGCCATAATTTTAATCAAACAACAGCAACTGCAGACAGTGCACCATTATTAGTGGGTTTCTCTACAGGACAGATTCAACTAATAGATCCAATAAAAAAGGAACTCAGTAAATTATATAATGAAGATGTAAGTAACTTATTGCTTTAAAAGTAATAAATTATATCAAGGCTATCAATATTGTGAATTAGATTTTTTGAATATATAAGGAGATTGTAAAATGTTCCTGGTACAATCCTAATATTATGGGAATATGTTTGTTAAGGATAGGTTGATAGCTTATGTGACACTTCATACATTATTCTAACTACTATAGAAAGATATTTTCAAGTAATGTGTACAAAAGTTGTTAGCACTTTATCCAATCTCTCAGATATCAATGTGTTATCTTGTTGAAACATGATAAATAAAGATGTTAGTAGTAGTTTAGTGGTATTGCACCTTTTATAGCACATACTTTATATTTACTACTGTCATATGTGATATTTAACTTTGGTAAATTTCATTTAGGTTCTATAACTCAATGGAATAACTGAACAAATAATTATATAATTTTTGCCAATTCACAATAATGATTATGCAACACATATACATGTATATATGTTATATTTGTATAATAAGTAGGATATAATACATTGTTTATTATCTTTATGTTCTTTTTAATGTTTCAGAGATTGATAGATAAAAGCAAAGTGACATGTATAAAATGGGTTCCTGGATCAAACAATCTGTTTCTGGTGTCACACAGTTCTGGGCAACTATATTTATATAATGAAGAACTTCTGTGTGGTACAACAGCCCCTCATTATCAGACTTTTAAATCAGGAGATGGTTATGCCATATACACTTGTAAAACAAAATCCACAAGAAACCCTTTGTATAGATGGGTAATAGGTGCAGAAGGATGCTGTATAAATGAATTTGCCTTTAGCCCGTGTGGCTCAAATTTAGCAGTTGTTTCCCAAGATGGGTTCCTACGAGTATTTCAGTACAATACAATGGAGTTAGTGGGTTCAGCAAGAAGTTATTTCGGTGGATTTTTGTGTGTATGTTGGTCACCAGATGGAAGATACGTTGTTGTTGGTGGTGAAGATGATCTTGTGACAATTTGGAGCTTTCATGAGAAAAGAGTGGTAGCTCGAGGTCAGGGTCATCACAGCTGGGTAAGCGTTGTAGCCTTTGATCCTTACACTACATCTTATGGAGATCATGATCCTGACTTCAGTGGTTCAGATGATGAAACATTGCCACACAATAATCATAATCACTTCCATGAGAAATCCAATCGTCTGTCTACAACTTCACAAGGAGTTCATTCAAACAGGAACTCTTGTAGTTCAGAGTTAAGAGTGTCAGGTGGTGCATGCTACAGGTTAGGTAGTGTGTCACAAGATACTCAATTGTGTTTGTGGGATATCACAGAAGATGTGTTAAGACAACCAATGTGTGCAAAGCAAAGGCCGTCTGCAGCAGGTTCTAGTACTCTTTCTACATCTGGAACAGTCAACAGTGGGAATGGTTCAACGACGAATCATCACTTGAACAATTCTAAACATAATAATTTGAATAATGTTAATTGCAAAGGAAACGCGAGTGGTAATAATGAAAGTAGTAACAATAGCACGAGTACAAATACAGCAGTGTCAACTGTAAATTCATTGACACAAAGGTTAGCAGGCCTTGGTTTTGGTGAGCGTAAAGGTGATAATCATAAAAGGAACTTTAGCCTCACTATGAGAGGTAGTGGTGCGTCTAATAGCACAATAATGCAGAACAGTGGTGGCGATAAAGCTACCACTAATTCAAATACAAGTAGTAATATGAACAGTGTCAGTGGAAGTTTAGTAGGTGCAAATAAAAAGGTTAGTTCAGTGATGGACGATCCTATGAGGTTGATAGGAACTGCCTGGTGCCCTAGGTTTGATGAGTGCCCAGTGCTAGAACCACTGGTGTGCAAGAAGTTGGCGCATGAGAGATTGACTGAATTAGTGTTTAGGGAAGACTGCTTTGTAACAGCGTGTCAAGATGGATACGTCTACACATGGGCAAGGCCTGGTCACATGGTAGGTCCTCTCACCATCAGCAGCACTCTGCACAGGCCACATCATCATAGCAATCCTTACACCAATATTAATTCCTTGCGATCTAACGATCTATGATGTAACCCATCTTCAATTGTTATTGCAATTTTGTGAAGTAGGGTTTTTTTTTAGAAACGAATTCCAATTTGTATATAAATAGTAATAGAATTTAAAATCATTGTCACTATTGAATGGAAAAAAAAAAAAAAAGAAAATAGGAGATATGATAACGCTTTGGACAATTTTCCTATTACCATTGTTGAATTGTATTAGGTGGAAAACGTTCTTTTAGACACATAACTTTATTAAATGTGAAAGACACGAAGGGGTAATTTTGTTATTTTTTGTCTCTGGTATTGTAATAAATGTTCTCGCGGCATCATATGTGTTATATATATATATGCTAATTTTGAAGATTTTTATTTGAGAATAAATGTATTTTTTTCTCATATCTACAAACTAAATCCTAGTTTACATTTAATCCAAAGCAGTATACATTATATTAAAAGGTGCCATTGGAATAAATTAAAGAACTAGCAATATCTTTTAGTCTGTATTGTGTATCAATTACAGAAATGTACAGATGGATGGTACTATGAATGGACAAGCTTGATCAATGTTTTGTGTTTACAAAAGTTTTAGTTTTCTTTATTACATGTTATATGTGAGATGTAACATTATTTCACTTCTAATTATTACATTAAAATGTTTTAATTTTAATTCTTAATGGTATAAACCTCCATTTATAATTGTGCCTAATGATCATCTGGTCAAAATATATTCAGTATGAATATTGAAGAAATACATTAGTATGATTATAAATAGAATATATTTATGTTTGGTTTGCATCATTGAGAGTAACATTGTTTTGCGCCCCATAAGATTTTGTAACAGGGCAGGCCCCTTAAACCCTTCTTTCTTTCCTATAAAGTGTTATTAGCTTAGCTTAGCAAATGATAGAAAGTTGATGAATTATTTAGTTAAACTATTATCCCGGATTATAATGATGTGACATTTAATCCTTTGTTGAAAACAGTGAATTGCCTTGTTGTACAATAAAGCAAAAATTTGAATGAAATATTGCTGCTTGCTTCCTGCTTGAGTTTTATACAGAATGCAATGCAGTAACTCCAGAGAAAATATTGAATCATTATGTGCATATATGTATATATATATGTGTATATATATATATGTGTGTCTAACGTTTGGCGCGATTATATAATTATTTTTGTAATTGTAAATTTTTGAATATAAACTGTTTGATTCAGTTTTCTGGTGTTTTGCATAAAGCATCTCTATCATGAAAATATCCCATGCTCCCTTATGTTATAGCGGTTTAACCAGTTAAAATTTGTGATAATTTTCATATAGTATGCATTGCTTCTTTTATAGTGACAGTCTTATAATTTTATCGGAAGATGCTTGTGCTTGTTTCTTAAGCTGGTGGGGCATTAATTTGTTACTTTGATTGGAAAGATTAATGTTCTGTACCATGCTTTGGCTGATGCAAGAAAATCATGGATGATCGTTCCAGAGTTTATAGCATGGTACGTATAATAATTTATCGTTTTCTTGATTTGTTTATTGCTTTATTGGATCGAGTAGTACAGTATGATTTATATATGCTTGTTCTCGTAGTATGTGCCTTGCCGAGGCGTTTCTAAGATTATGTACCGATATTATACTTCTATACTGTCGTTGCACTATATTCTTCAATGCACTTTTAGAAGTTAAATCTGTGTTTGAAATGCTTTCAACATTTGCAGAATTTCTGTAAAAATAATTCGAATTACTTTTGGTAGTGAACTTTCGTGCATCTTTTAATTACAGCCGGGAATAGGGCAGGTTGGAAATGCTCTCCACGTTGTCAGTCCCGCAGAAAGTGGAGGTACCATAGTATAGCCAGAAGCAGATATTAACACATCTTCAAGACACGAAGAAGAATACGTCCCGCTAATGCGTACGCTGCAATCTCCAAAAATGCAGTTTCAACCATGTACCCATTATCGTCACTTGTATTATGTATGGCCAAGTGAAAATTATTCCAGTATCGTTTAAAAAAATCGATAATTAAACAATTATCATCCTCAAGGCATCTAACAATTGATTGCTTACAGACACATTTTGATTTCGGTAAATTAATTTCGGTGCCTATCAGTCGTCCTTGCTTTCCATTCTTTTTTTATTTAGGTGGGAAAGATATTCACATTACATAGTGTTACACAAATTTTGTAAGAAAATACCAAGTAAATTGCGAAAGTAACAAGTAAATTGTGTGTACATGTATATATGTATACATAAGTATGTTTGATCTTACATACTGTACTAAATCATTCCAATAAGGTCCTGTTAAGCCAACAAATTTGAATTGAATAGTGTTAATACTAAATGCTTATATATATATACACATATTGTCAAAAACTTTTATATTACCAATATTTAATTATAATTGTTTAGAGACACGATTTTAAATGATTTGCTTTTTGCGGTATAGATTAACGAGCAATGCAATTATTGTAATCAGTCAGAGCAATATGTAAATATGAAATGTTTTTATGCAGTATTTTAATTTGCATATTCATTACTCGGGATTAATTGTTTTTATCGTGAGTAAAAAAGCAAACTAGATAATTTATAAAGCAGATTATTCTATATTACTTCATTTGTTTAAATTTACTTATGGCAAATATTATTTTTTTACGTTGTCAATTTTAAGTGAAAACTTTATTATGTTATAACGTTTCTTCTTTATGCTTCATTTCCTGTTAACGCAGTTCAGAAATGTATAGCCAGATTGTCGTTAACTAAATTGCCTTAATAAGATCGTAAGTTAAAGAAAGGAAATTTTTATTTGTTCTATAATATGGTTGCACGAATATGTTTCGGAGAAACTTGTTCGCTTTATTGAAAATCTATAATGAGTGCATCATCGATGTACGATCAGTTGAAAACTTAACACAAAAAACGACTTTATATCTGAGAGCTACGAAACATACATGATTAATTGAAAGTTTAACGTAAAAGAGAAAATCAATTGTATATTACAGCAAGAATTTTTTATAGTTCTGCGTCTGATTATACGTCTACATATGTACATACATATGTAGGGCTTTTCGAAGGAGGTGTTAATTCTATTTACAAAAGTTCTATACGTTAACGCGACATAACAATGAATAATTTTTACAACGAATAAAAGAAATATTTTTATATAGTTAAATAGTTATTGAATATTCTAACGATGGACAGTATTTCATATTGCATATTCCACACGGCAATACTATTTATTACTTTATAAAAATAAATAATGAAACAAATATATATGTATATATATACACAAACACACACACACACACACACAGGCACGTTAAGATGTTAACGTCAAAGTGTAAAAACGGTTTGTATCGTAATTTTTAAACAATTTGAAAATGATGAAACATTTTTTTACTCTTTGTCATGGGCATTTTTTTCAAAATGTTAGTAATTTAGCGACGAAATGCAAGCAAATAAAAGTATGGTAATGCAAAAATTATTTATGAGAAGAAATTAATGGGAAAACTATATATGTATACAACATGATTTAGATAATTGTGAATCAGCGGTTCTTAGACAATAATATCCGTCATGGCATGAATTGCAAACAATATTTATAAATATTTTACGATTGTTAAGCCCATAATAGACTTAATTTATATTTGAACCATTAAAAATCACTGGTCATAGCGATAATGTACTTTTTTGGGAAACATTTTTTTCGATAGAAGTATTAAAATTATCTCAAAGGATATTTTTGCGTATATTCATACCTTACGTTATAAGCAAGTGAATTAGAAGATATATACATATACATATGTGTATATGCGTACTGTGTACATGTCTAATAAATTCTGTTTTTATACAGATGAAAATAATGGACAGAGAGAAGTAATTGTGTTTTGAAATGTATGTTTTAATATGGTGTGTAAGAGAAAACAGTAGCAGCCCTGTTTTTATATTAAATTAACGAATTTGAAAATGTTATTGCATCAAAAACAACAATATCGTAGCTTTTATGATAATTCACGAAACGTTTGTTGAATTATGTTACTTTTAACCTGAGAGTTACGTGACGTGTGAAACAATCTACTCTTTGGCAAGTAGTAAATGTATAAAATTACTCTTTTTCGTCTAATTGTAAGCTCCTCGAGGTATACTGTGATACGTGCGTATGCTGACATTAACTAATTACCTAATTATAAGTGACGAAAGTGAGAATTATGTTAATATCGTGAATAGCGTTGTCGTGTGTCGAAGCGAATGATTCACTCTTTCAAGAGGTGTTTGCTGATTGGACGTTTTCTTGAATCGGTATGCGTTATTGAAACCGTTAGTGATCGGAGGAGTCTGGCCTGTTAGGTATACCGAACTATATTTGATTTATCAAATCCGCGATTTATAATGTTCCTACATTGTAAACTGAATGACGAGTCCATAATAAATGATATCTTTCATTTCACGATTAGTACTGATCGGAAGGAAAATATGGCAAATTTATTAATCGATTTATTGTTCTAGTTGCGATACAATTATTTCAATCAACATGTACATATGTATTTCTCGGATTTTTCTACCGTTATTACCAAATTATTACTAAATGATCACCGAATAGTTACTATTATTTATAAATGTTTTACGTCTCGTAAAGCGAACAAGATTCCTTTATATCGAAGAACAAATATAGTCAATATTAGAGCAACGAGTTCATTAAAAGTATTATATTATTTGTTTGCCAATTGTTTATAGTCGCAAATATTATTAATACAATGATAACACAACGATATGGACGGATAGTTTATTGCGAACTGACTGAATAGTCTGGCTGATTACATTTACGCAGATGCACATACATACATAAAAATAATCAATCATTTCCTACTTGGCGATTCTTTTATAACATATTTTCACTATCACATCAAATTTCTAATTCCCTTCGCATTTTATTTCATTTGTTTATAAAACTGTACATTCTTTGTGATTGTAAATGAAAAGAAACAGATTTAATTGTTAGTGCTCTCGTGTATTTCTCTTTACAACATAACTACCCGAAATTATAGAATTATTTTAGAAAAAAAAATCATTATTTAAATCTTATTTTACCAATAATATTGCAAGTAATTAAAATTCTTAATAATAGTACCTGCTTAGCCGACTGCGATTAACTTCGTTTTCTCCTTTTTTCTTTTTTTGTTTAAACATTTGTACAACGTTTATTTACTATTGCAATAACATTATATGTATTTGGTAACTAATTTACAATATGAAAAATCTTCTATGTGACATAATTGGAAAATTTACAAGAAACTTGATAAACGATAGAAATGAACAAGTTACAAATACTTCGTGTGGATAACGACTTAGTGCAAAAAGTTGATTTACAAATAGGTAATAACATCATTGGCCACAATGTTGAAACTGGAGTAAGTATTTAATTACACAGACGAAGAAGTAAAAGAAAGTAACGACATTAAGCGATTAACGTAAAAGTATTCTTGGCTAACAAATTACTTCAAAATTATGGTAGGTTATATGTTTCTCGCGCATGCGTTGTAAATGTACCATATCACGTGACAGTTTATTATGTTTCGTATATTGCGCCTAATATTTAATCGTGAAACTTTTGTGTATTTGGAACATAAAGATATTGTAAAAATACGTAAGCATAGTTTGCGTAATTTAATTTCAGTGTGACGATGAACGGATAGTAAAACACGCTGTAACGATAAACTTAACGCCTGAGAATGAAATGACAATAACACCGGTAAGACGGAGCACGTGGTGTTTAGACGCCACGTAATAACAGTCTCGTATGAATTAAGTACACTGAAAGTACACATCAATGTCTTATAGGAATTATTTTTCAGCATCAGGTTTCATCATGCTATATGAAATCTAGCGAATCTCCGCGATGGCAGCTTCTTAAATTGGGTAATACTGTTCCCATAAAACCTGGAGACGTTTGTTCTTTGGTACCGCATAAATGTTGGTTTAAAATTATATCCCTGTCTGACAAAATGGAAAACAACGAAGAGTGTACATTAAAACGAAAAGTACTATATCGATATTTTAAATGATTAAAACAACTAGTCTTTCAACATTTTTTATTAATTACTTTATAGGCTAACAAAGATGTAAATTCGAATGTACCTGATAAAAAGCTCTGTTCAGAATCAGGAGAAGGAGATAATTTACGATCTTCGAGTGATGTATTAAATAAAATGTTAAATAGTAATAATAATGATATAACTGAAGTAAATAATTCATCAAATGATAAAAATGAAGATGTAATGCAGGATACAAATTGTAAAGTAATACAGGAATCTCAAAACACAGATGAATTGTCTGCAGTGGAGAATGATGTTTATAAAGTTGAAAATGCAAATGGAAAAACTTTAAGTTCTATACAGAATTCAAATATGTCTTCTACAACTGAAAACTCTGAAAATGTTACAACAGAAGATGCATCAAATGGGTCTACTAGTGCAACGTTGAATATTTCAAGGGAAAAATGCAAATATGCAGAGAAATGCTACAGGTAATTTAATATTTTTTTCTTTTATTATAAAATGTTTTACAAAAAATCTTTCGGTAGGAAAAATCCACAGCACAAAGCTGAATTTAGTCATCCTAAGGATTCTGATTACGACGCCCCTGATAACAGAGAAGAGTGTCCTTATGGTACAGAATGTTACCGTACGGGTGCTCAGCACAAAATGCAGTTCAAACATAATACCAATAAACATGGCAAACGAAGTCGTAAACAAACTCAGGGACGTGTATCTTTGGATACGTTATCTGGAATGGAAGATTCATCTGGAGAGGAATCTATGGATGAATCTGTGGATGAATCTGAATACGATCCTTCTAGCGATGAATTGTATTCCGAATCTGAAGACAATACAACTGATTAAAAAGATATTATTTGAAAATATTTGGATTATTTTTAAATTATTTGTACAATTGTAACTATACATATATGTGAAATCTTAGAGTATATTTTATATCTATGTAAAGAAATATATTAATATTAGGAAGATAATTAAGAAAAACAATGTTAACCGTTCGAGTGCTAACGTGTTCCTTGCGTTCCTCGTGAAAAGTGCGGGGAACGGCGCTGTTTACGACATAGAAACATAGAATAAAATATTTTTTATTTGTCATCACAAGTATCGGCGGCAGTGAACGCAGAAATTACAATAACAGGCAGCAGCGCGATCGCGCTTGTCAGCACTTAAACGGTTAAATAAACATTTAAAAATAGCTATAAAATATTTGCGATATATCTGTAAGTTTGCTATTTATTATTCTTTCAATGTTTATAAGCATTTAATAAGCTTCGTATCTTTCATCATTTTCCACATATTCTTCAGTAGCCACATCCACAAGTATGTGTTTCGGTATTTCCGAACCTCTTACTTTAATCGTATAACAAACATTTTCCACTTTATGGAGGCTTTGCCTTAAGGTACAAAGTTTCCTATGTATTTCTTTGTTGGATGTACTCGTAGAACCAAGAAATCCCTTGTACATACTTCTGACAAAATTGCACGTTTGGTAACAACTAGCTATGTCTCCTGTTGCCAAGTTATTGATACATTTGCGCATTAATTCTCCAGTTAGGTCTGCAATTCCTAGGATGAATTGGAAGGGTGTGACCAAAGTTTGTATAGTTTTATTTGTAGATTTTTCAGAAACGTCGTAGGTAAGTATTTTTTCCAATTCTACCCAACTTTCCATATTAGCATTGTAGATATATTGATAAAATGTAACAGCTTCTACATATTCTTGCAAACCATTACGGTAAGCTTTAAGATACATATACGGGTCTTGATTCTCTAATTCCCATGCTATATATCTGAATAAATTTTGGGCAACATTTTGTATTCCCATTTCACTTTCCTGCAACACGTTTTCCACCTTGCTCTTTTTATCTATAGTATGTAAAAGAAAAATAATTCGTTTACTTTGAATAATAACATCTCTGCCAATTTTAACAATTCTTTCGAAACGATCGTGTTTGTCGTCCAATTCGAGCGCATATGTTCGAAACTGTTGTACGACCAAACTGTCTTCGTTTATGCTTTCCACGATTTCTTTTCCCTTGTCACCGAAGTTGATCTTCTTATTGCTACGATATCCACGACTTTTTCCACTTCCTTCGTCCAACCATAAAATAAGAAAGTCAAAGGTTTTTTAAGGTTTATTTAAAGCGGTTGCGAAATTAATACGATTCTTTTACTGATCTTCCTTACACCCCTCTTTTTGTTATCATTTGATTTTTACGGGGTACACAAGTGCCAATTCAGCGTATCGTGACATGAATTTGACGTATGCATCGCATTAAAAACAGAAGTGACTTAGGAGTAAAGCGAATAGTACAAAGTATATTTAAAATATTTTGTAATTGTGTCAATATACCTTTGGACTGAGACATAGCGATTACTTTTCCAACTTGTGAAATGAAATTTTTATAACGCGACCGGTTTGCGTTTAATGCCGCTAGAATAGAACTCGTGTCTTAAATTAACAAGTTCTTCACTGTTACTTCGAACTGGTTGGCAGAGATGTCGTTGTAACAATTCCTTGGTTCAATGTTCACAGGTGGCGCTGTACAATTTCTTTTTCGTCGCATCGATGGAACGAACGGCGATGGATGGATCGGACGTATCGAAACGTTTAATACGACATTAATATATGTACATTTGTTTGGAATAAGTTGACCAATCGAACTGCGATGAATAATAGGTAATAGAAACTGTCGATTGGAGTTTTTCTCGTTGAAATTGAGCCAGACGTATTTAGCTAGAAGAACGCGGGAAAATGAAATAAAAACTGTAGCACGAAATATTCGTTAGAACGTAACGGTTGGTTTCTAATTTTGAACGAAAAAATTGAAAAATTCCTGCGATATGAATTCATTTTACTTTTCCGTTGCTGTATAATTTCTCTTTCGAACGATCTTGGAAGTCGAGAACAGTGCGATTTCCATTAAATGCAACGATATTTCCGCCATTTTGAATATTCAAGCAGATCGCGTTCAATAACGGTTGAAGTTTTATTTCGAGCTACCGAAACGTAGAATCGTATTTCAAGTTTAACGAACCTTTACGTAAGTACTTTGGTGTACGCCAGTCAAAATTCATTACTTACTGCTGCATAGATTATCGAGAGGTCCGATTGAGAGGTTGGTAAATACGTAAATAAATATGTAACGCACGTATATGAATACTGATTGAAAAATTTGTTTACACACGTAGGTGGAAAATTCAGTTTGCTTAATAATAATTATTTATCGAAGGAAGTACCGACACGAGAGCCGGAAATTTCCAGAATCGATGAAATTGTCGAGTGAGTATCGAAAGTTATTTTCGAAAAATAACGGTGCGGCATTCCGAATGGAAAGAAAACGACAGAGTTGGTTATTTAGGAAGATGTTGGAACGTAAGTAAGCACTCACATTTCCATACGTATTCTCGAACGAAGAGATTTCAGCGATAGAGCGTAAGTAGTACGTGTCGGTGTATAATCCGACTAGGTCAGTCCTAAATGTCCATTTCCTTGACCCAGATTTCACCTTTCGGTCTGTCTCGAAGATATACGTTTTCAAGCTTTGTTCTCCGCTCCTATACCAGATATACACACTCGCTATTCCCTTTTTACCAACTGCATTTAACGTCCGCGGATGCATTAAATCTCTCGCGGAAATAGTGGAGGGCCCGGAGAGAAATGGCAAGATTTCTTTTTTCTCACTTTCAGAATACATTAGACGAAAAGGAGCGATAAAAGGCGCAGTTTGGATGGATTGCAGAAAGTTTCGCAGTTGTGCAGAATTTTTCATCGGCTCGTTTCTTCATCGAATTTCCAGGTGGAGCTTGGGGAATCGAGTAGAAAGGCGTAACACGAAATCGATGTGTTTTATTTATATACAATATTTACAAAGGCATACCGTTATCAAGTTGCTAATAAATATCTTTGTACGCTTAAACGTGTACAATATGGCATAAGCATGGCTTTAGTCTTTTTGATTTTCTCGTGTTGCGACAGAGCCGCAAGCTCCTCGTACGCAGTTTCTCTTGAGATCCTCCGTCATTTTTAAATGCAGCTCTCCTGGATCACGGTGCTTCTGATCATCGTTTCCGAATACCGGTGCGGCCTCTGAAGACTGTAAAACGTCTGGAAAGAGAGCGAACGACGCTCGCTAAATCTACGCAAGCTGCTTCGACGAAATATCGTCTACAGAGACATTCCTCGTTTTTACAGGACGAAGACCGGCAACTCACGTTTGGCGATGCTCGAGGATAATCTGAATCTTCTATGACATCGTGGGACATTTCTCGCCCTTCCAGCTGTCGTGGCCTTCGTGGCAGGGATCCGTAATGCAGAGGCTTCCTATCTGCAAGAAATTCCATCGCAGCTTAACGCCGTCGTATAATATTGTATAATCGGTAAGTTGGAGTTTCTTTTCTTTCGAGAAATCTTGCCATTCGCGTGGTAAGTACTTTGGTACAGCAACTATTTACGACAGATCGAAAGGAGGACGTTCGGTAAGGATATTTTGCGACGTTATCGATTGTTGGTACGTCGAGTGGTTCGGCCATTGATTCTAACTCGATACTATCTAGACTGGTAACGGGTCGATGTAACGTACACGCGTTCCTCGCGAGCAATTTCCTTGAAAGTATCGTTAACCACCGCTGGCGGTTTAGGACGGGACTCGATATATTTGCTGATTCTCGTTTAAACGGAACACTTTCATCAGTCTGAGTAGAAATTTACCAGATGAGATGGAGGATTATTTTTCGACGTGAACGAAGAAGTATCTCTACACACTGTCGAAGAAACGTGGAATTTCTTACCTGTCGAATGATTGCTCATGGCCCTGGTGGGTATTAGATCAGGATTTCCGTCCTCTTCCTCGGCTTTACCAGCGAAAGTCGCGATGCTAGGTTGTTGAGGTGGCCGTTTCAGTTTTGCCGGTGTTGCCGCGTGTTTTCTCCACAACGCCATTAGTACTCCGGTCACGATTAACCCCAAACCGGTGGCGGTGCCGCCTAGGCCAATCAGGATTGGCGACATATCCACCGAAGATGCCGCCGATTCCCCTATAAACCAAATCTCCACCAGTCCTACTACGTACGATTCGTTTAACAACCTACGCGTACGTGATTCGTCCTGCGTTTTCCTTGAAAATTCTTTCGCGAAAAGCGATTCGAGGGGGAAATTAGGGGAGAGTACGAGTGAAACGATGATTTTAACGCCTACTTTAATTCTCCAGACTACGCCACCGCGCCATTGCTGGTCTCGGTTGTCGTGGAAGATTAACGAACGCTATAGCGAGAGATTCCGAGGTAGGAAAATTGCCTGGGCCGGTGGTATTGCTATCGAAGAACGGACGACACTCGGGAAAGAAAGGGACGAGAGAAAACAGAATTTCAACCTCCGTCAAAATTTCTCCTATCTCTTGTCGTTGTTAATTTTGAAAAACCAACGGAGTTTTGTAGCGACGGCACAATAGCTCCGACAATGAGAAGAAAGAAAGGGAAAAATCGTATTCGTGGCAAACAGAAGAATTCGTGGATTCACGAAACACTTTTTTATCTACGTTACGTGTCCCCGGTCGAGATATCGGAGTTGCGCGGAGTCAGTGTAGTGCGGATACAGGGGAACGCGAAAAATAGAGAAAACAGGACCGCGACCAATTCTCATTTCTCCCTATTTTTTGTCCCTCGACTCTAAAGAACAACTGCGACCGCGTCTACGGAGCGACAGGGGACGGTTGAAATTCGAAAACGTATCGTATCGACTCTAATTAACGAAAGTGTGTTGAAGAAAAAAGAACGTATCCCGAGTATTTGTCGATCTCTAAACGAGAACGGCGAGCTTTCACGAGTCGTATCTTTTGAAGAGCTTATGAAACGGACGCTGCATTTCCGTCTTTTCGTATAGGCCATAGGCTGTTCAACTCGCGTCAAAGGTACTTACGCACCGGTGAACTTGGCCACTCCTTTTAACGCTTCCCCTTCCATGATCACCGGATCGCTCGACCCTTTCATATTGACCGCGTAAAGGGCGACGGTCGTTGGCTTGTGAAGCTCCAGCTCCCAGTAAGGATTCTCCGATTCCAGCCGTTGTTTATCCACGATAGCGACGAATTTCTGCGGCAGACCGCCGTCGTATCCTTCCACGCACGATATCCTGATCAACGAGCCGGTCTGATTGTACGCCGTGCAGTTTTGCAACGGATACGGTCTACCTGCGTGGGAGAGACAACTTTCCGTTAGACTAAACGTTCGTCGTTCCTTGTTTTCGTGCAGCGGAAAAAGCAGCGTAGTCGCGCCGCGGTTCGCATACATAACTTGGTTTCATCGCGCAACGCGATGCTGCATCGTTTCGTGGCCAATGAAATTATGTTCCACGGCCGTCATTATTGGCGATGGTGTTGCATTAACGAGATCACTTGTATGCAAATAGGGCAAGTTTGAAAAAGCACGCGCAAACGGTGCACGATGTGGTCGGTCAGCGGTGCTGTTTGCAACGAGAATAATCCTTCGCAGTGGCGTAGATTGGTGGGAGCCGCGATAAAACAGATTTCCCTTCGTTTTCAGTCGTTTCTCATTGAAATTGTGTCTTTTTATTCGAGCCCCGCGGTGGCCCGCGAATTATTAAGCGCGTTTTATCGCGAAAACGCGCGAGGGAGATCTAAGTTGGACGGGACTGTATCGGCGTTTCCACTTACGGCCTCGCATCGTCGTTTCAATTAGCGATTTAATTACTCGCGACTGGGGGCGAGCCAGCGGGGCAGCGTGGGGTTCCGCGTTGCCTCTACTTGCGCCAACCACAGGTTGTCGGGTGGCAAAAAACTGCTGTCCGGTAATTACACAAGAAATACGTTGCTTCTCCACCGAAAATAAATTACGCGTCCAATTACTGCAAGCAGTGCACGCGGGGGAGTTGAAATCGAACCGCGGAGAAACTATTGACCGAGCGTAGTATATGGCGGCGGTAACGCGACACGGACCAAATTAATTCGCCCGATTCGTCCCGGTCCAGAAGTAGTTTTGCCCGATCGACGTTTCTACCGTTCAACCTGACTCCCGGTCAGTACATTTCCCGTGAGCCCCAAGTCAAGTAGGTACTATGTACCGGCGCATCGTGCATGTACACCGTAATGAACATATTCAATTATGGTTTTCGTGAAATTTTCCGCGTGCGACACAACTGGCGCGAACTCTCGTAGACACTCGGCGACGAGCAGCTGGAGACAACGGGCTTTCTTCATTCCGTGATTATCCCCGCAGGAATTCACCGACGGTTCTTTTTCCTACGCTGCTCGCAATTTGCAAAATAGAACACCCGACTTTTCTCCGCCCTGAGGAATAACGATAGAATATCGGGACGGACCTGCCGCGATTACTTGATAGAGGCACGGCTGTTTCGAAGGGCCCACGATGTTGCTGGCCCAACAGCCTAACGTCCCGTAATCCATGTCGGACGATGGGGTGTAATTCAGTCTACTGGAAGTGCCTTCGTTGGTGTATTTTGGGGACGGAATGTCGCTGAGATCACCGCCGCTGCTGTTGAAGGTCCAATAGAAGGTGACGGAGGTTGGGCTGGCCTCGACTTCGCAAACAAAGCTGATGGTCTCGTGCTTCAGGGCTCCGTGAACCTCTTCGGGTACGTTCAAAGGTGGCGGCGTCGCGTTCTGATACCTCCAGCCGGCAGAGTACAAGACGTGCTTACAAATAGGGGCGACTGCAACACAAACGTGATACATAATGCACGCTCACGCCGGAAAACGTAACGTGTCCAGGGAACTGGGACGTCTACATTCCTTACTTGTTTTACATTTTTCATTTACGACGTCGCACTACCCGCTAATAAAAACGAGAAACTGCAGCGTAAAACATTTCGCGGGGCGCGTTTATCATGGAAAGGAGTGGGAATATGTTACGAATGATTACCCTGGTGAACTCGAGGCAGAAAAACGCGGGCTGGTCAACATTTACGACCAAATTTTGTCCGGTTAAATATTCTCTTTTTTTTTTTCTTTCTTACGACGTAAGAGGAGGAAAATATACTTACACATAACCTCGAGGTCCACTACGTTAGAACCAGCGCGACCCTCGACATTGACGGCCATGCAGGTGTACCTTCCAGCGGATTCTCGAGTTATACTCTGAAGCACCAGAGAGTGGTCCGAGAGCACTATGCCGGCGGTGACGTTGTAATGGAGCTCTTCTTCCTGAATAAACAAATGGCGAGAGAGGTCCTGCCCGTCAAACAATTCCTCGTTCAGTTCTTCAGTTCGTAGGACGAAGGGTGTAATATTCGGTTCACGGTTCGTTGCGTGTGCCATACATAGTTAAGCCTTCTCCGGTTAGGTTACTGGGAAAAGTTAGGTGGGTGGTGGTGGGCAAAGCTTCGAAAAGTTAGTACATGTTTGGTGCATTCTCCGGTTCCTATCCCGGCCATAAAGCCTGTCATACGCGCGAAAGATTCAAAATTTACCTCGTGAGCAAAAACACCGTCTAAACTCGCGCGAACTTTAGTTCTCGTCGGTGCAGTTTCACAGCCGTGAAAGTTTTTCGAACGACAGCGCGGGGGCGAAATCTCCGTTTCGACCGTTTTCGAGCCTAACGGTGCAAATTCTACGATCGGGGTGTGACCGAAGACGAAGCAACGTTTGCAACGGGGAAAACGTGACCCTAGACACGCTTGCAAATTGTTGTTCGCTCCGTGGGGCTGGACAAAGGGAATTTACGATGCATACTACTTGAGTCTCTGCCCTCCCTTCGTTCCTCTCTCTCTCTCTCTCTCTCTCGTAGGCTCGTTATTTTACGTATACTCAAACACGTGCGCGTGTCCGTACACCTCTTACCGTTATACTCATCTCTAGCCACTGGTTTACAAATATATACACTCTTGTACACGTCTGCGAATCATACACACCCTGTCTGTGAATTTTCGCGCCCCTTCATCCTTCAACACCGGTTCTTCGAATCTCCGTTTCTCCACATACACGTATACGTACACACGCGACGGCCACGATATTATAATTTTCCCTTAACTTTCCGGCAAAGGCTTTGCACGCAGATTGCGCGGCCCAAGGCGTGTCACGCGAAATGGAGGCCGTGGTAGATGGATGGAAATTTCAGAAACTCGATTATTTCCGTTGCCTCGAGAGCCTTGTGTGCACATGTATGTATTTCCGCTGATGTCTTGCAGCAAGTAGATTACTTTGATATTTCGACCAAGTTCCACTTCTCTCTCTCTCTCTCTCTCTCTCTGTTATCCAGAGGAGAATGGGAAACGCAGGAATTTCGCCTTCTGGATTCGAACAATCGTATTTTTCATCCTTCGGATCGGAATTCCTTCGAGAGGAGGCAGCAATACGCGGTGAAAAGCGCGTAGCAACGTACGAATTAAAACGTATGTACGGTAAATTCTCTACAAGAGTCAGTAAGTTCGGATTCTACAAGTGACAGTATAGACATGTTATCTCGCTCGCAGTCAGTCAAGCGTGTAACGCCAGTCGGTTTCCTTTACGAGATTTCACGGCTCGACAAATCGTAATAGAAAAATATCATTTCTTTAACTTTACTTTTTTTCATCTGCAATTTTTTTTAACATGTTGCTGAGATTTTTCTG